CCTACTTCTCCTAATGTCTCAAGACTTCTGCTTCAGCATGAGCCAGCACACCACCACGGCACCAGATGGAAGCTGCGACAGATGTTGCATTCTTGACAAACCCCATCCAACAAGTGCCTTTTCCCTTGATTGCGTCTTTATCACCGGCACTTCAAGAGAGCAGAAGCTGCATACAAGCCAAGGGTGGAAAAAGGGGCCAACCTTCTTGATATAGTATTGAGAGTAGTATTGAGCTTCTGGAGGTGAGGTGGCACCCAATCTGATAGCCTGGTTTATCCAAGCTTTGCAGTCATGGCCATGACCAACAAGATGAGCTGAGCTGTGGCAGAGACCTTTGTGATGCCATATCCTCCACTTTTGGGAGCCTATTCTATCGGATTCTTCCTTTTTCCTTGTTTCATCGCCTTTCATTGTCCTTGGCCTATCTTGGCACCACCTTCCTCCTCATTCCCATATAGACCCCCAAAGAGATGGAAAAGTAATGAAAAGTAAATCCCCACCTTTAAAAAACAACAAGACGTTTCTTGGAATCCGTGCCACTGTCAAGATCTTATATAAGTAGATCCCCAAGACACCAACATCTATAATATATAAGAAAAGAAGCTACTAGGAACAAGTGCATTGCTTCTAGTAACAAGTGCCTTACTAGTATATAGTAACAAGAAGCTAGACTGATGTTGGTGTTTTCAGTCCTTCACCGCATGACCTGAACACTAAGCCGAGGAACAGCACGGTTCGCGCCGCAGGACCTGATGACGGCGCCCATCGCGACCAATGACTTCATCACCGCTTGGGTGCCGTTGCATCGGGTAGGACCCACGGGAGGTGATGGACGTCCCACCATGGACAAATGCTACCAGGGGCCAGGTGTTGCCATGTCATGATCAATTTGTGGGTCAAGTGACTGATGTCTTAATATGAGCCTAATCAATTTGTGGGTCGACGGTCAACAGTTGTTCACATTCAACAGTTGTTGGAATCTTCCATGGAATGGTTCCATGATTAAAGCTAGTAGTAACAAGTGCATCGCTACTAGTAACAAGTGCCTTACTAGTAGTAACAAGAAGCTACTAGGAGCAGAGGGCAACTGCAGAAACTCTGTCAGTCCCTATTTGAGGGAGGCTATGGACGAGCCCGTGCACTCCCGAGTGCTCAGACCGCTGACCGCCCCAAGGAACTGCACTTGGCACCTTGTTTCTAGTAGCAAACATTGTTACTACTAGTAAGGCACCTGTTACGACTAGTAAGGCACTTGTTCCTAGTAGCGTGGCACTTGTTCCTAGTAGCTTCTTGTTACTACTAGTAAGGCACTTGTTACTACTAGCGATGCACCGGTTACTACTAGACAGGAAACTTGGAAGAATGTATAGTTGGTAGGTTGACAGCCCAGTCCATCATGGGCCAGGATTTCTTCCAACAGAGTCGCCCTGCAGCGCAGACATGCGAAGACGCAAGCAGGATCCATCGAGGAGAGCCCCTTGGTGTTCCAGTCGTGTACTCACAAGGATCTCGCCGCCAAGGTGCATTGCGGGGCTATGGTAAGAGGATCTACTCTGGAAGATGTTGGACCATGGGATGGGAAGCTTTTGCTTACTGTAATGTTTTGGAAAGTCCTGCATGTTGATGGCTCATCAAAGCAGTGAGCAAGGCTCAAGGTAGGCTCCCTTTTAGTTTTTGCTTGTTGGAGGCTTGGTCGCTATCAATCTTGCGCAGGTCCATCATGAACAGCTGGAGGACACGATGTGAGTCACATGCTTCCGGCTTCCACATTGATGTTCACTATGTTATACTAAAACAATATTGGCCAACTTGGCAGTTCACTGCCAAGAGTACCCCTAAGCGAGACGCAGCGAACATGTTCAGTAGCACTTAGGCAGGGAGACAGGAAAGCCTCGGTTTGACTGGATTAATGTACCTCGCAGGTAGCATGCTCGAATCTACCTATGCACATCAAGTCCCGCGGCAAGCGGCTGCAAATCACCAGTTTCGTCAGTCAAAAAGGATTGGCCTCGAAGTGAAACACCTCATTGGTCGAGCCAGTTCCATCAGTAGCTGGAAGCCCCTCACTCATCCCAGGAGATGGGCATTGACCCTTTGAGCTGCCCGGGGCCAGAGGACTTCGGGGAGCATCACGTGCCCTTAGAGGAGACGACGGGTTTTTCCAACCTTGGGGTCCTGTGGTGCGAAGTGTGTCCGTGGCTAAGGCTGGAAGTGGGTGGACTCCCCCAAAAGAAGGAACATGAGCAAAAATGCGCTTATATAAAGCCAAAGCCAAAAGGATGCCAGCGAACGCAAATAAGAGTTTAGACTCGATTTTTAAATGCATATCTACACATAATATACAGACATATACTGTATATATATATATAGCCGTGTGTGTGTGTGTGATTGCAAGTATGATTGTATAATGCCTTTGTTTTTGCCAGTGGGGGTTTCATGATAACAAAGTGTGCCTGTGAATCCATGCCCCCCCATTTGCATCAGATAGCAGCCTTGGCCACAAGACCATGAAACCTTGGAAGGACCAGAACGATATCACCAAATGCCTAGCCAGTGGATGAAAAGAAACCCTTAGCTTTGAGACGAATTTGGCATGACCCCTTTGGTCCGCTGCCAGGAGGGTGATGTGACCTGGCACCATGGCTGGGTTCAGCATGGCGCACCTGCGCTCACCAAAGGCACGCGGCTTGGCTGGCCTCGTTCGGCGAGGAAAGCGCCATCATTTGGGAGCCGTTAAAGGGACAGCAGCAGGGACGTTGGTAAGTTGGGGAGTTAGAAGGAGTTGGCAATTTGGCCACCAACTTGTAGCCCTTCGATTAATTATGTAATGCATGTGTTCCTAGTAGCGATGGCCTCCAACCTATTTGCCACGGCCTCCACCTAATAGCGTCCTTGTTACTAGTATAGCTTCTATGCCTACTGTCTTTATGTAGTGACCGAAGAAGTTGCGTCATCGGATGCTCCGCAGGTGTGAGCCGCATGGCCTTCACCGCATCGTACTTTGCAGATGGTGCATTGGTGATGGCCCCCGCGGAGACCGAGGCCTCGGTGTAGAGACCGTGGCATCGACGAATGGTCCGACCTTGAGATGTTTGGGGTGCCGAAAGGTGATGGCAATTCTGGGCCTGATCATGATCATGATTATGATCCTGAATCAAAGTTCTGAAGGCTGAAGATGGACAGTTCCAGGATAATTCCCAAACACAGGAGTTGGGTAGCCGCCCAAACTGCCCAAACTTTCGAGGATCACCACGAGGATCACCACACAAATCACCCACTTCACAGTGCCCAACGCACACTGCGTCTCCCTGCGTCACACTGCTTACTGCGGCGGGAACCCCGCAGGACGCACCTTCCTTCACCAGTTGGCTGCGCGATTTGCGGCCTGGAGACCAGGCCGAACATCCGGAGCTGCCCCTGTTGGCTCCAGCCGGAGGCTTAGTATTTGGCTTGGGGAAGAGGCATGGCAAATTGTCAGCCGTAGATTGGATGAGTCTCTGAGAGAAGGACGAGGAGCTTCAGGGAGTGAATGTCCGCACTCGTTTTGATATGTTTTGACGGTTTGATGCACTGAGACGAGTCACGAATCCGGACTCCAAGGCTTGATGCAGGACTGCTGCTGCAGAGGGTTTGCTTGGAGCTCCGCGCTTGGTTTGGGCGAAGTTCCCTGTGAGGCTTTCATGAAGGTACCGCAAGGAAGCCGCAGATCAACAGGGCAAAATATGACAAAATGATGCCCTCAGTTCTCTCCGAAGCCGGTCAATGTTAGGTGTGGATCTGAATAGTAGGTAGACCCCCAACCGATGGAGTCTTGTCTATTTCCCTTTCTTCCGGTGTTTTTTGGGTGAGGCCCCCCTATCTTTATACACACCCATTTGGCAACTCTCGCTGCTCCTGTTTCGGGCTCAAGAGTTCGCCCCCCCGCTGGCTCTCTCAGTCGCGGGAACTCCGCTCATGGGGGCACAGCTGTGTCCGACTCCTCGCGCGAAGAGACAACATGGTTTCAGAGTTTGTGAATATATGCCCTTGTTACTAGTAGCTGCTAGCTGCTATATATAGAAAACCATATATATCTATATTACTTTAAATAAATAAAGTGGTTTCAGAGGTTCGATGGCACTGGCACCCCAAGATGTCTTAGACATATGGGGGTCCACTACTAAAGCACCGACATTGGGGTTTGTGCCATCTGCTCTACTCTCAATCCACTTTACTCCTTTTATAGCTTTAGGGACAGTGACTTCACTAGTCATGGAGGCTATTCACCGTTCACTGGGGGAAACCATGCGTTCCAAGGGGCAAGTTGAGGCAGTATTGGGCAGACCTCTCTTCTGCATGAGTTTGGGCAGAACGGATGTGGTGGACCGGCGGTGATCGGCCTTAGGAGAGTGAACGTGGAATTGGACGCCTGAGCACCACTTGGTGGATCAGGCAGGCCACTATGCTCTCTCTCTCTCTCTCTTGTTCTCCACCTGTTGCGCTGTTTGCACACTGTCGCAGTAGCTTGAGTGGTGTCCTGTTTGTCTAGATACCCTCCAATTCACACAAGTCACCAGAACCTCTCTTGCAACAGCTTTGGCCAACAACATTTTGAGGAGCAAGCCATGTCCGGCAGCCTGAGCCAACAACCGGGTGCGCACAGAATCTAAGGATCTAGACAGTTCTTCATGGCTATGTAGATTGTAGATGTTGGACCGATGTCAATTGACAAGAGTTCTCAAAGGTGAGGGTTTGCTGAACAGCAGGGGCATTCCTACTAAGGGCCAAGAGTTCTTGGGTTTCTCGGGCCAGGACTGATGCCTCCACTGGAAGGTATTTTGGGATTCGCAGTGGATGAGTCGGTCGTTAATGCTTAGTCAGTTTGCTCATTGCAGCACTAGGCAGGGAAGTGTTTCGTATCCTAGCCCCGGGTTCTTGGAGTACGGGTGCTTTTGCTGGGCTGTTTCAAGGCGGCGAAACCTTGTTCTGAACCTCGCGGTCCGCCGCAGGCGATTTCGGCCATGTCGGATGGCCGCGTCACCGTTGGGCACTGCATCGAGGGACTGCCCATGGGGCTTTTCGTGGCTTGCCGTGGAGGAGCACAGAGGGTAGGACGGCTCTATCAAGAGAGTTACAGAAGCTACATGAAGCTACACTCAAGATGGAACCTCAAGAGACTGCTTGGTATATGTGTCAACCCCTGTGTATCGAAATGCGCTACGTGTTTGTGTAGTTTGTGTGTGGTTTCTAGACGAAGATCGGGGTAGTCTACTTGGTGAATCTTCAGGCGAAACTGTTGGGCTAGCTTCAGCCATTCAATTATAAAGTGTTCGTGTGAGGGTGGAGATCGTTCCAGAACTCCCGACCAAATGGCGGCTGGTTTTGATTAGACAGTCATGTGCGAAGGTATGGGAATTGCTACTTTGCGCCTTCTTGGCATGCTTTTGGCTGGGCGCCATGAATGAGTCACTCGGCAATCCGCTGCCTGCAGGTCATTGCACATCGTGTGGGTTGCAGATGATCAGGTGGATCATACAGGTGGATCATACGGTAACACAACAGGATTGCAAATTTATGCAAATTTGGCGCGGGGGTCATTTTCACGATGCAGGTCGCAACGATGCGACGATGCGACCGTCATGCGACTGATGCTCCCTTAGAAGTTGTCAGGGCATACTGTAATTGGTAGTCAGTTCAATGTGGCCTCCAAATGTGTGCGCGTGCATGTGAAGACTCTAAAGCCTTCGGATGACCCACCCATAGATAAAAATGGAGGCAAAAATCCAGCTGAGACCACTGCTGCGGCTCCAAGAGGCCATCATGGGCCCATCCTGTCCAGAGTTTTGCCACTCCTGTACACTCCCGGTCACCACCCCCGGTCCCTGGTACCAAGGCCGACACCTTTTGCCATGGGCCTGGTGGCCACCGCCACTTGGGGCTCATGTCGGGGTGCGTCACGGTGTGCCAGCGAAGGGGTGGGGGCTGCGTGAGGGCTTTCGCACATCATATCCACTCGAAGCAGTCATCCCCTGCTTCGGGGTTCTAGAGGCTAATCCACCACATCGGTGGATGATTCCCTCTTCGGCAGGGCACCGCGAGTTCCGCGTCTCTGCCACTCTTCAGGATTGGTCCTTCAACGAGCTGAGCGTGCAAGCCGTTCTGGCTGTGATGAGCATTGGCAACAGTATCTCTTTGCTGGCTTTTGGTTGGTTGGCTGAAGCTCGCGCAAGAAAGAAGGGTAGCGGGTAGCAATAGAGGCGAGGGCAGCATTGGGTCATGCTGGTTCATCTGGGTTCAACAGAGAGACCACCCAAAGACCCCTTGGAAACAGGGAAACAGACCAAAACCATCCAAAACCCACGGGCTGGGCCGGTTCCCATCTGTATGCTACAGAAGGCACACAGCCCTGTGAACCAGCTGCTTCATTCAAAAGAAGGCCAACATCCTTGGCATAGTGTGGGTTGCAGAGTTTTTTCTAACGAAAGGCGACCCACTCGAAACCATTGAGCTCGAGTAGACACACCGCAAGTGTCCGAAGCAAAAGAATCGGCATCAAGAACTTGAAACTCCATGTAGCATGTTTTCATATGTCTTGATGTAACAACAACAACAACAACAACAACAACAACAACAACAACAACAACAACAACAACAACAATAGCAGCAACAACAACCACAACAACCACAACAACCACAACGACAACGACCACAACCACAACCACAACAACAACAACAATTCAAATACACACTCAAATCGTGGCAACCGTTTGTGACTGAGGACCGCTATGGCCGCGCTTTGGTCATGCGAAACCTTCTCTTACTGACCATTGCAGCTGCCATCTTCATGCAGGGCTCAAGGACAGGACCAGAGATGCGGAGTTTTTGGCCAAGGCCCTAGGCTTGTTTGTCGTGGCCTCAGCTCTTTCACATGGAGGGTATATGTATGTTTGAATTATTGGTCTTTTTTATGTGGTTTTTGTTTTGATAGCTTTTGCCTTTTGCGGGCTTGTGGCTTTTGGCTTTTGGTGGTTTCTGTTTGACTTTTGGTGCTTCGGTTGGCTTTTGATGGCTTGTGTTGGCTTTGGGCTTCTGTTGGCTTTTGGCTTTTCGTGGCTTCGGTTGCTTTTGGTGGCTTGTGTTGGCTTTTGGCTTTTGTTGGGTTTTGGTGGGGCTTTGCCTTTTAGTGCTTCGGTTGGCTTGGGCTTTGTCACTGTTGCACGGAACGTGATATATTATACCCAAGATATATCACGATATGATAGTTACTATTCTCTTCTATTGCATCCTGGTCACTACACCTACCGGGTACCGACTAAAGAATCCAAGAGTTGGCAACGATCGTGCTTGCATTGGTTGTGGCTTTGGCCAACCCCGGTTGACCATTTCAACCTTTGTTCTGCTGTGATGGGTGGATGTTAGTCACTAGTCCATCATCAGACGAATGTGAAGTTCCAGGCACAGCTGCCAGATGTAAAAAGGTATATTGGTTTTATCCAGATGTAGCAACCTTGTCCCTTTTCCGTGTCCATTTCCATTTCCTTGCCCTTTGCTTGCCCTTTTTCTTTTTTCTGTTCCTTCCCTTTTGCTTTATAGCAGCCAAGAGCAAGAGAAAAATAGTACTTGTACAAGATTACAAAAGTATAACAATTCCAACATAAAATCCGAACCCCTTTCGCATGGCACACGTTTTGCATTGAATTGGTTATGTCCTCTTTGTTGCGCCAGAAAAACACGGCTAGCAGAAGGCTGTTCAACAAGCATTTCTGTTGGCCAGGAGTTTGGAACTCACGCTCTGGGGCCGCTTTCTCGTAGGCCCGGGCTCTTTCGGGTTATTGGTGGTGCTGGAGGATGTGTCAAACGAACGTTACGGAAAGCGACACATTGCTTTGCCTGAAGATGTTGCTTCAGTCTTTGTTTGTTTGCAAGGTCTTTCTTCCGGTGGTTTGATGGCGGCAATGTTGCCACTGCTGGCAGAGCTGCTGCCGGCCAAAAGCCGTGGCTTCTATCTCACCGTTTGGACATGTGGCAGGCTGTGACATTTGAGCACCCCATGTGTTCACCACATGGACTTCCCGCAAAGGGTGGAGGTTCGAACCTCCGTCGATGACAGGCCTGCCGGTGCCCTGTTCGCCGTCATCATCAGCTGCTTGCTGCTCCGCATGCAGTGGACCAGCTGCTCGTCATGCAGAAGAACGTGGAAGAACACATCGCCACAATGACGCTCTTGGAGCATCCAAAAGCACAGACCGATCATGAACTTGTACAACGACTGAAATCACATGCATCCCAAAAACCACCTTTTTCACGGCTTCTATAAGCCTCCAAGATCCTCCAAGGTTTGTAAGTGAAACCTCATGTAACTTGCCCTGTTTTGCATGTAACTTGCCCAGAACTTCACCAAGAACTGCACGAGCGACCAGCCATGTCTCGCTGAGATTTCATCTTCTTGCTGACCCTGCCGGCAGTGGTTCTGTACATCTTATGTCGATTAGAAGTGGTTCCAGAATCTCCCCGATTCTTGTACCTGGTGGGCAGAAGAGAGGAAGGCTACTTCACTCTCTTGGACATATATGACAAGGCACACTTCGAGAGAAACTTTCAGAGAGAGTGACGGCTGCCCGCAGATCATATACTGACATGTGAGCACCAAAAGGCTACCTAGAAATCAGTTGCCGCTGTGTGAGCCGCGGAAGATATGGCAACATTCAAGAAAGCAGAAGTCTGTTTCAAATCCTGCATGTCATAAATTACATATGACAATCGTGTGTGTGCGTGTGTGCGTGTGTATGCAGAACTGCTTGCTGTCAGCAATTGTACTTGAGGGTTGACGAGATTTTTCCCGTAGATTCCATCTATTGCTTTGGCTCTCGCAATGTCTATATAGCTACTCAGCTCTCTCGCTGCAGGAGATGACTTGTCTTCCCTGGGCACCCGAGTCCGTGTCGCTCACCAGCTCGCCCGAGAGCAAGGAGGTCAAAGCCGGACTTGAGAAGCTCCACTCCTCCGATGCGACCATCACAGCGGCATGACCGACGAGCAGTTGGGTGGTCAAAACCGGCGTGACCGGTGCGAAACAGACATGGAAGCCTTGATAGTATACCCCCCCATCCTTCTGTCCTTAAGAACCTCGAAGCGCTGGGAGATCTGAAGCAAAGACATGTCAGGGTGGTTGGTTGGCAGATGGTCTTGGAAGATTGTAAAAGGATATGTTGCCTTCTTATGCTTTCTTATGTGGCTGTGGGTCAACCTCGGAGCCCGTTTCACCCTGGTAGTGGACCTCCTTAGTAGTCTATTCTGTGCATTTCCGCTGGTCAACCCGGGTGCCAGATTCGCGACGGTTGAGGCTTTCTTGTGCCTCATCGTCTTCATGATCAACTGCGCCTCTCAGTGCACGCAGGTCCCATGCGGTTGGAAAATGCATGAACATGCAACAAAAGGCAATGGAGGGGGAGGTTTTAATTACCAAGTGGGCGGGGCGTCGCAGGACGAATCACCTCCTCTGTAGATTCAGGTTTTTGTTCTCCTGTCCTACCCCAACAGCCTGTGAGTGGCAGTGGTGCTGTCGAACAGGCCTGGGTGCCGATGACCACGCTGGCGACCTCCAGTACGCTGGCGAACCCACTGGCTTTAATCGCGTTCCCATTTGTCCAGGTGCCGCTAAAACGGCGAAAACAACCTTGCTTTGAATCACATGACAGTAGTAGGCCAGGGCCTCTAGGGCTGGCACTGGGTCGCCAAGCTTTGAGCTTTGCGGCATTGGGTTGTGTTACGATGTGTTACACATAAATGGCGCAGAAGTTGATTTATTGAGTCATGGCTTAGCAGGGATCCTGGGTTTGGTTTATATAACGTGGAAACATGTGGAAGCGCTCAAGCTGCCACAGATCTTTGACCCATGCAGCCCGAGGTGGTGCAGAGCCCACAAGTCCACAGCCTTGCGCTGCTGCAGAGCCCACCAGATCACCACTCAGTGATGGTGGTAGCCCAGGGCTACATGTGACTGGTCCATACTTTTTCTTCATTGTCCCAAATTTGACCTATCACCTAAACGATGGTAGCAAAACCCCGAACAGAACTGGACGCAACTACCATCGGCACTGTGCTAGTAATATGGGAAGTCTTCATTTTCACGCCCTTCCCACCGCTTGCAGCTGCACTACAGTCAAAAGTGCGAGTCTTGTTAAAGTCAATTAAGCATCAAAACCTTGCACGAAGGCTGCTACACAACCATCCAAAGCACAGCGTGCCACCGTGTAGTCAACGATTTGACCAGTTCACGCCCCACGCGGAAACACATTCGCCAAATTTTTGTCCACTGAGGCTTGAGCTGTGTGGCATCGTTCTTTGTGCCACGGTCTCATCAGCAGCTGGGAGTAGACGTCGGTCCGACGGTCCGACGGTGGAAGAGACGTCACCGGGCGCAGACGGGAAGGGCACCAAAGAAATGTGGCCAGCAAAGCACCTGGATTCGCCTGGTTACCAGGTCCTGGTATGTTTGTGTTAGGGGGAAGTCGCTGAAGACTGGGAGCCCCAGAGAGCGAGCGAGGGAGGGAGGGAGTGAGTGAGTGAGTGAGAGTGAGGACGAGAGAAAGTGAAAACAAGGTCCCCTAGATAGACTACTGCAGTCCGGGGAGCACGCGGGTCCTTGATCCAAAGCATTTCAAAGCCATTTGAGAACAGCTAGGCTTGTGATCCCTCGATCCAACAGACCGTACCCCTTAGCATCCCTTAGCTATGCCACAGCGGCACAATCAATGAAAATCATTGGCTCAACTGGGCATGGGTGAAAGAGACAAAATCCAAAGCCAACCATCATAGTTGTCCCAAACCATCCCAAACCCAAAGCGAGAGAGGAGAATTCTTGTGGAAGCGAAAGCGGCTACCACGGAGGCAGGTGAGTCCTCAGTCCCTTCACTCAGGTCTTGAGCCGTCGCTGGCTCATCCGGGGCGCACTGCTGTGCGCGGCCGTCCTGAGCTTCGCAACCACCGCGGCGGAGGGGCGGCGAATGTGTCTTGGTGAAGGGTGGGGGGCAGGCTGGTTTTGGACAGAATGATGGACAGAAACTGGGTTGACTTGGTCTTGTAGCTGCAAATGAGAGGACTCTGGAAGCCAAGTGTGTCTATTTGTGTACTCTCCAGCTGTGTTAGTGTCACTGTTACTATGTTTCATTTGCTTTCCCGTGGCTCGTCCTATTCTAAGACTCCTGGATAATGAACCGTTAACATGTTGGGTTCGTGTCAGGAGTGCTGGACAAGGACCTCCAGTAGGAGAAGTTAAAGCCCATTTCAGAGAGCATCCTCATTCACATACTCCTCACCCGTTCCAGCCGGATGCTTGGACTGATGCCGGTGTCCAGTTCACGGACCGGTGCACCAGAGCGAGTCAGCGAGTGAGAAACTCTCGGTTTGGTCAGGTGGTTTTCTGCGGGACCTCTTTATGGAGCTGTTCTCATCGCACAATCTGCAGCCTTCAACTTTCTTCTGGCGCGGCAGCCAGCACTTACTGCATCGGCGGACTGTTTTGCTCGAAGTAAGCTTAGACATGGAAGAAAATGCTTTCTCATGCACATGAACAAGAATGGATGGACCAACTGGACATATTTCCCGCTCACACGCGCAACAGTATCAACAGTGGGCACGCTCTCTTGAGAGGTGAATATTACTCCAATCTCTTCCGTTCCTATTGTGGGTGTAGATGATGGTTGAAGAATTGAACCCCCAGTCCATCCCAGTCCCCTGACCTCGCCACAGACCTCCTCGTGTTCCATGACCTCCTTTTGGCGCGCAGGTCTATACTTGTGAGAAGTTCCCCACGTCCTCCCGTGCCAGTGCGGTGGGTTTGGTGCTGTTCTTCGGTGAGGCGAGGGAAAGCAATGACTGAGTCAGTCAGAGTGTCCTTCCGAAAAATTGACAAGTTTTCCACCCATGGGGTCATCTCCATGTGCACTCACCAATGTCATGGAATGGATATTTCGGATACGGTGGACTAGCTGTCTCTTTGAGATGGCTGGATGGGGGGAGAGGGAGAGAGAGAGAGAGAGAGGAGAGACACTGACTTTGGGCCGCTGAACACCCTCCCCCCCTGCAGGTTGCGCGCTTCTTTATGCCGGCCCTGGGCATTGTTTTATTGAGCCTTGACGTTTACAATAGCAGGTTATTGGTGTTCATATGTTCGTGCAATGGAGATTGCGAAAGGGTGACCAGATCACCAGATCACCAGTGGATGGTAGTTTTCGTGTGTTTTCTCATAACCACTTGAGATTGACTTCAATCATTGTTTCTTTCACCCGGGGCCCGCGGCAATGGAGGCTCCACTCAGGGACGAACGAAGGGACGGAGGCTCCGAGGCTCCGAGGCCTTCACGTTCGTGGGGTGTCACAGCCGATCCCAGGAGGCATATGTCCCAGTTCACTGTGGTATCCATCTTCAACAGCTTGTGCCCTATCTTTAGAGAGAGAGAGAGGGAGAGGGGGGAGAAAAAGAACAACAATTATATAAGTAAAGGAGGAGCCTTATTCAAAACAATCAAAAGCCATATATAACGCTGCAAGATTTTTTCGATAGAACAGAGCGGAGAGGAGGAGGGGAGAGAGCTTCTCGAGAGTTGGGATCGCCCCCCCTTCCTAGTGCCATGTTGGACAAAGAACGTGTTCAAAGGGATCATGGCTTTTCTTTGCAACACACTGAGCCCGTGAAGGGTGCAATGGAGAGAGAGAGAGAGAGACAGCTGTTTGTTGCAATCAGGTATTTGGTTGCATTCGTTCTGACCTTCCAGCTTCCTCTGCCATCTTTTCGCGAAAAACCACTTCACGACATCGATGAAAGCAGAGGGAAAGATGCGCTGAAGCGCAAGCGACTTGGAGTCACCTATCAAACTGTTTAGATCCTTCAGATGATCATTTTGATCATCAAATGCCCGGCTTGGCGAAAAGCATCATGGCGGACGGCGCCTCGTCCCGCCGCCCGCCGTTCCGATGTCCTGCTGTAGAGTCCAGTCGCGATGTGAAAAGCAAAAGCGCATGAAAAGAGAAGAAGGCGCGATGAAATCGTGTACCGTGGCCATAAATGTCCAGGAATCAAGTGAATCCCAGCACCTTGAATCATGTGAAATCACCTTTCTTTTCTGTCACTTCACGGTCAAATGTCATTTCCATGTGTGTCGGCGTTGTGTCCAGCTTCTTTGGCTCGAGCTCTGAAGCGCTCTGCCACTGAAGCTCCATGACCGACTCTGAGACCTTCCGCTTGTTGGGCAGCAATGGTGAAATCACCCTCTTCGGTGTCAGCGTGCAGAGCGGCAACCATGAGCCGCCCGGCGGAAGAATAACACACCATCAACGAAAGGAAGAATCACTCGCATATAGTCTATATAAGTAGATATACATTGATGGAACACTCCAGACCAGAATATTGGAAAATTGAATATGTAGAACGACTTTTAATACATGCTTGAGGATGCTGTACACTGTACTATGCATGCCGTAGGATGCTAGTAGGGTTTTCCGTCCCGGATCTCCAGCGGTCCGTCGGGACTGCCCACTGGGTCTTCCTCCGCCCATCTCCGACGATGGCCACAGGGATTGGCAGTTTGTGATGGGCTTTCCACGTCCAGGCGCGTGTTACTGTTCTCGACGCTTCGCGTGTTCTACGCTACGCTCGAAAAACTGGGAGAGACGTCGACCGGGTCCGGGTCAGGACTCTGTTGATGACCAGTGTTGTCCAAGGTTGGCATATCAACCAAGCCAACACACAGACACACTCGAGATCTTTTGATGGACAAGAGTCTCACAGTATATGCCTGGCAAAGAATCCTTCAATTCTACGCATGTTTACATGTGTTTCGAGGGCGATGCGAAATCAACTGGTGAAAAGTTTCGCAAACGTTTTGGCATGCTCGTTGCCTCAAAGTTGTCCACAATTTGGAATATCATGCCACTCCGCCACTCGCCCTTGTTTGGTCCATAGGCTTTTTGGGTTTGGTCTAGGGGCAGCCGGGTCACTCAGCCATGCAGCTACATTGCACCAACCTATGCTTGGCCTCGTTGCGACCCAAACATGTCAAAATTAGGAGGCTCATCTAGCTTGAGCCGGGTGTCTTCCAAATAGCAAGGGTGTTTGATTTGGAATAGTACCTTGTTGTCAAGTTTCTTGCTGGCTCCGTTAAAGGCATGTAACACAGCCATGTAGTTTATTTCGTTCTGCTTGGGAGCAAAGAGCTCTAAGAACGAGGCAACATCCACATGCGCTTGACACATGCAAGACTGACCTATATATACAGTCATGGAACTTCAAGAATTTAGATTCCTTCGTAGTGGGCAGCCATGCCAGCGTGGAGGTATGATGATGATGGAGACGTTACGCGTGAAGAGTCCGCAGAGACCATCTCCTTCCTCACAACCACGAACATCATCCACCGCTTCTGGCGCCACAGCCAAGCACCACTATGGATGGAGAAGGTGGACCTGTCGGAGCTGCAAAAAGAAAAGCTTGACTTTGACCGGGACGTTGCAACTTCAATGGCCAACTCGTACTTCACACTGTTTGCAAGATCCTTCTCGACCCTTTGCGGAGTCATGTGCTGATGTAGGTCTGATTTTCTTTGCGGCCCGAGGGTTGCCTGAGCCAGCTGGAAGCACCAACCACTGCGCTTATATGCTGATTGCTTAATATGCCCAGCTTGGACGTGTGAAACTTTCTCGGTTTGAAATTTACGTTGCATTGGGGCTCAGGAGCTGAGGCTCGACGATCTTGGATTGGGTTATTGTGCTTGGGGCAGTCGGATGTAAACAGCTGAAGCTTGTCGGTGCAGTGTGCGCCCGAAGCTGCAGTGCCTTGCGCCCGGCCAAGCTCGATCAATGGGGCCTTGCAGGAGTGAATGAGTTGGAGACGGAAAACCCGTCACAATGTTACCAGCCAAATTGATTTGGCCAGGAACACCCGTCACGTTTCAGACCGGGGCCCCAACCCTAAAATGTGATGGGTTTTTTTGATAAACCCGTCGCAATTAAGTAAGGAAAATGGAAACCCGTCAGGCTTTCCAGCCCACTCCGAACTTCAAAGTGTGATTTGTTTCTCCAAAACCTATGGAATTGTGATGGGGTTTTTTGAAAAACCAATCGCTTTTCTGGGGCCAGTCAAGCTTCCAGATCATGATGGGTTTTCTGGCCAAAACCACTCAGCCAAATGGTGATTGTTTTTAATAAAAACCGTCGCAATTTGACCAGCCAAATCCATTTGGCCGGGAAAACCCGTCACAATTTGACCAGCCAAATCCATTTGGCCAGGAAAACCCGTCAAAATTTAGCCAGCGAAATCTTTTTGGCAAGGAAAACCTCGAACACTTGGCAAACCTAGGGTCCAACCGCTTTGCACTTTGAGTAATTAAGTGTTGCAAAACCTGCTTGGCATAAAGGATTTGTCACGGTTTTAGGGTTAAAATGCGTTGGTTCAGTAAGGACACCTCAGTTTCCAACAAAGACCAAATGGCAGAACTGCCGGGGTTTTGAGCTGGGTGCGCTCAACCTTGGTATGCTTTTGACTGCCAGCTAGCTGGCAGCCGGTGTGCCAGTTTACTGGCGGCCACAACCTGTTAGAGTTTTGATGTGTGCTTCTTGAAGCTTTAAGCTTCTCGAGGGGCTTTAGGACGAGGTGAGAGTTGTTCGAGTAAAACGGGCGCGTCCGTTGAAGGTTGCCTTGAAGCTTCGTGATTCCTAGAACCGCGGCTTGTTGAGGCGATGTGGTAGCGGGGGGACAATATCGCGTCACATGGATGATCACCGTGAAAGATAGAATAAGCGAAGTTAACACTTTGACCTGCTGGCTTGGTTGCAATGTGCACATGGAGCCTGGGAACTGAACTTGGTGCTACTTGCTATCATTATGGTTTTGAATGGGATGCCACGTGATGCGTGCAAGTGCTGATTGTTTGCAAAGTGCAGCAAATGCTGCCAGTCCGTGGAAAGAGCTACCAGTTTGTGCTTTGGAGTTTGCCGGGCGGGTAGAAATTTGGACACCCACTTGCTATTTGGAGGACACCCGGCTCAGGGTAGATGAGCCTTAGAAACACCATCCTAGAAGCAATGGCCTCCAAACTAATGGCAATGGCCTCCAAACCCAAACCCTGCATGTCGAAACTTCATTTTGTGGGGGGGCCTACCAAACGCCGCCCGGGCTCGCGTCCTGTTCAGTTAAAGACGGTGACAACAAAGAGTTCGAGAAGTTCGTGGACCAGCCTGGCGACCTTTGGAAGGCACGTCCTCGACCCGTGGTCCGATGGGGTGTGTGGGTTGCACGGACATCGAACTCAGAGAATCGGCGAAGATCTCGGTTGAGTGGACATCCACGAGGAAGTCCAGATGTTGGCATGTCTCCAACCGTGGCTATGGTTGGGGTTACCTGACAATGCCTAAGAAAACGACCTGTCGCTCGACATGTTTGGTGCGTGAGGGGATTTTGGGAACAAATGATCCGTGTGATCGGGTGTGTTCGGAAAGTGAGAACCTGCGGAACCACCTTCCTGACAGCATGTTTGTCGCTCTAGTCCAAGTGTGGTTTTCGGGGCCCATCTCACCATGACCCGGTTTTTCTTCAGATTCTGTCAACTAGACTTTCCCAAACATTCTCACACCCATTCCTGACGAATACCCCATGTCTGACGGCCTGCAGGACATATTTCCACGATCTGAGCCGAAAAGGTTTGACAAGCCCATCACGATGCAGGACGAATTGACGTCGTTGCTCTCACCACTTATGCACGCACATGAGGTGGAAAAATATTGGTTTCCTGATTGTTGGGGCACTTATGCAAGGACTTCAGCGATCAAGCGCGAAAGAAGATCGAAGAGATTCTAGAAGGCATGTCCCGTTGGACACCGAAACCACTTGCGTCTCGCGTCTTTCGCGAAGCGCTTCGAGCTTCGGCCGATGGGCGGCAGCCACAGGCCCCAACTTTCACTGTAAGACGGGCAACTATGTGTCGATCGATGGCGATGAATACTTCTTGAAGATTGCCCTGAAAGAAAAAGACATGTTGCACTCCTTGGCAGAAAGGGTGGAGGCAGGGTTTTTGTTGGTTGTGCCACGAGTGATCTGCGTGGCACCGCGCAGATCCAATAAGCAAGCATGCAGCTTTTCATGTGCCAGCGCTGAGTTTGTCGAAGTACTTCTATGCCAGGCCCGTGCACGGGTGAAGCCATCTGCGTATGAGAAGGCCAAAGTGGTGTGCCCCACAGAGCATAAGGTTGGAGAGGAGCAGATTTGGTCCCACTATTCACCCTAGGGTCAGTTCCCTCTTGTGGACACTGACTGGAGCCCTCATCATTGTTCTAGCTTGACAGGGTGGTTCTCTTGAGCCTGAAACTATCTAAACTGCTACCCAAAACTATCTTCGTGCGCACAAGGAATCAAACGAACAAAAGCACACAGAGTTGTTCCACGCACACCTGATACCATCGAAAGGCAGTTCGTCTGCAGGAGTTCAAGCGCTATGAGAGTGAACATCGAAATCTTCATACCAAAGACAAGCAGGACAACTGCTGCCCGGCTCATGTGTCTCGGCTTTTTTAGGCCCAAAAAAGGAGAAGCCCAGGAGTCAATCAGGGCCCCTGCAGCCTGAAGCGCCAAGTACCCCGTACCACCTCCCAGAATTGGGGGGCTCCATGTAGCTCCAACGAATTGGGCCCATTTATTGCAACCCCCTAACTTCTCCCACGAAAAGGGCCTCGAACCTTGTATTGTCCAACCACCCGATGGTCCGAACCCAACCTCCAGGGGGCTCCTCTCTGGCCCGGCCGGGCTGGAGGGGGGGAGCCGGACACCTCCGCTTCCGACGATGGCTTCAGGTGCTTTTCCGAAAGGCCTTAAAGGACAAGCTCGAAGACTTTGAAGAGCCCAATGTGCTTCGAATTCTCCGGCGCCACATTATCAACTATATTCAGATCCAGGAGTTGCAGAAGGTGCGGCACCATGGTCCATGGTTGGTTGGTCATTGACACCATGCCGAGGCTGTCGCTGTCGCTCTTGGTCGGGTCAAGATAGGAGACCTGGCTTCACAGGCCAAAGCCGCCAAAGCTAGTTCAGCATGGTGTCTCCCCATGGCGCACTGTTGGCAAACAAGATCAAAATTGAAGGGTTCGCAATGGTTTGCATGTCCAATTTTCTCTATATGGTTGTCGATCTAAAGGTCCTAGTCAGCAGTGTGTATGACGATGACCCGGAACATATCAAAATCTCATTTGGCGAAAGTTTTTTCTCGAGTTGGCGAAAGTAAATTTTTTTTGGCGAAAGATCTGGCGAAAGATTAAATATGTACTTTTGTATGAATGTTCATTTGCTTTCTGAACAGCTGGTGGCAGTGACTCAGAAGCTAGATGAGCTGTGGAAGTTAGATAACCTGGTGCTGCTGCGGCTGCTACTACTACTACTACTACTACGACTACCACTACCACTATGACTACCACTACCACTACCACTACTACTACTACTACTACTACTACTACTTCTACTACTACTACTACTACTACTACTACTACTACTACTACTACTACTACTACTACTACTACTATACTACTACTACTACTACTACTATTCCTACTACTATTCCTGCTCCTGCTTTTGGGGGTGGCTTTGCCACAAAACTCTACCCCGCAAAAGGCGAAAGTTTGGCGAAAGTTCAGCTCAAGATTGGCGAAAGTTCACCCTGCCACATCTGACCCCCAGCCCATTATGAGTAAGTTTGAGTGACCGGCTACTACAGTGATTCTTGCAATTTTGATTCTTGCTGACACCCAGGAGAAACAAAAGAGACGTACAGGGTGTCAACAGTTGAGTAGAAGACACATGCTGACAAACAGTGAAGTTTCTATTTTGTGTTTGCCCGTAAAGAAGAAGCCATTGACGTGAACAAAACACAACATACATGGCACACATAAATACAACGTACTTCGGCGAAAGATAAAACGCAGGAAGGCGAAAGTTTGGCGAAAGTAAATTTTTTTTTGGCGAAAATGACGGATCCCGGATAAAGGAATTTAGATCAACTCCCATATAGGTCTAGGTGACAAGGTCTTTGCAAGTTCAAGTCTAATTGGGGTTCCTTTAATGGACGCTTTATGAAACGGTTTGGTATCCTTTAACCCGTCTAATCTCAGCAAGTATTCTTCACCCGGCAGTTGCTGGTACAATACGCCGTCATAAGTATAAGCCCTCATATTTGTTACCAGTCCGATTGGCTATCTGGCCATCAGCCATCCATGGCCTTGCCATTCACCAGGCTGGAGTGGTGTCCTCCTTCTTCGCCGTGCACCAGTGGCAGCATCTCCAGGAGCTGCATAACCGTGGCTGGAACAACCTTTCACGCTTGTGGAGCTGGCCGAAGGCGCCGTGGACCGTCGGCCGTTCGAAGAAGACCGTCGGGGCCCTGGCCGGAGGAACTGGCTGTGCTGGCACAGCTGGGGGATTTGACGGTGACGGAAAGAAAGAGGGAGGGGGAAGCTGTGTACTGTTAGACCCGTTGCAAGATTTAAGATATGGCAAGGTCACTCCCTGGTCATTATGTATTGCCTCAATGACTCAAAAGTGGAAGGACGGCACCGCGGATTTCATCGTGCAGTACACCGGAGTGCAGGTGGCATTCCTGTTCCACCTTTACAACACCTTCACCAGGCGCTGACAGAATGTGAGTTGGAACTCAGTTCTTTGGACTATTCAGTTAAAGCCTACTGCGAGGTACAGATAAGATACTATGTGATATTGTCAAATTATAGTCATAGTACGTAGTATACTGTGTATCAGTTGTTGATACTTGTTGGTCATTATGTATTCACAAAATATGCATAATATATAGACTAGAGTCAGAGGTGTGTGTGTGTGTGTGTGCCCGTTCTTGATATATTATATCTTTAACGTGTTTGCATGAGTGAATACATAGAGCTCGTGAATTCCTGGGTCTTGTTCTCAGCGCTTTACTCGCATCGGTGGCGAGAGCGCCCTCAGGTGGCTCTCGGGTCCAGCCGTGCTGAGTACGGTGAACTTCGTCTTGCGCCGGTGCCCCTTCACCAGCGCTCGCGAGGCGAGCGTGGAAGAGATGCAGGTGATTGTGGCAGGGTGGCATGTGTAAAAGAAAAGACGGATGAAATAGAGGCTCTTCGAGACATTTGAGACATTGTCCCAGGGAATTTCGCTCAGAACCTCTCCCCAACAACTTTGTTTAGTGATGGCAGTAGTTGCATAGCGGCACAATGTCTTCATTCCACTACAGGGGTCGACTGGTGACAACTGACGGGTGACAAACGGTGACAAACTGGTGCATGTGCATCCGACTGGAACCCCGACGGCGCATCCGATTGCTGCACTCTGCACAGATGAAATTTGTGGATTCCGCCTATGGAGCCATGCTGTGCATGTGGACCACGGTTTTCCTGGTTGCTCAGCTGATCCAGCGGAGTTGTGCCGCTGGCAGAAGGAAACACGGCACAAAGTGGCTCAAAGTTGGAAAGTGGGCTGAATGGACCTTGGCAGCTGCTTTTCGTCCCCATCTCAACATGTGTGCGATCCTTCGCCCCTGAACAAAGGAACGCAACCGAACAAAAGATCGGACCGTTCGGAACACCGAACCGGACCGCAGTGCGCGCGCTTGGCCGCGCGCGCGCTTGGCATCAGGTTCGCTATAACCAGTTGCTGAACTTGAAAACCTACCGCTGGGGGATGGAAGGGGCCGAGCGGGAAATCGTGCCAGTGGCCTGGGCCGAAAGAGTGGGCGGGTGTCGGAGTGCAGTGCATTCTCCATGGAAAGACCCACGACGGTGGACAGAGACCCTTCGGTCCAATGGACCTTGTCGTTCGAGCCATTGCTAGTAGGTTGGAGGCCATTAGCTATTGGGTTTTCAGATGGTTTCAGTAGTCCTTTTCCGTGTCGATTGATGTTGACAAACCACCAGCCAGAGTGCACTGGTCCATGGGAGGATTGATACAAATATATAATCCTGGAGCAAAGACATGCTTGACATATGAGCTGGTATTGAAGATCATTGAAGTGCAATGCACTGCACCTGCACTAGGAAATTCCATCAGGACATGCATTGTATTACTCTAGTGCAAGACCTCCGTCCCGGTCACACCGTGCCTGGTCGACGTGCCCCGTCGCCCCTCAGGTCCGGAAAGAGTTTAGTGACGAATATCGTGGAAGTATCCTGGATGGATTGCAGAAGTTTGCACATTCCCTCCTATGCTTGGTCTTCATCGTGGAGACCATTGGTGCCGCGCAAGTGATCTCCTCCGTGAGCCATGAAGCGCATGCACATCCTGAGGAGTCAACAAGAGGTATTCCAAATACCACGGTGATCTTGCTGGCCAAGTTTCCTGGTTTTGCTTAGGGTCATGCGTTATATATATATATAATATGTGTATATATGTGTTAATTGTTTGTAGTATTTTGTGAGGTTCATTTGGCAAATCCAAGGTATGCCATAACACTCAATATCAAGGTGGTTGACCTCATTTGGACCCCACTGTCGACTTGGCTCAGCAAGAAGGAGAACTGGCGAACCGAGCCGGAGATGAAATCCCATATGATTGTGCCCCTGCTGCATGGCATGGCATTCTCCTTTCCAAATGGGTTTAAGATAAAGATCCTGTATAAGCCCATATATGTATATATGTTAAGGCGTCCTTTCCAACGAATGGTACTATGGGATAAAACAGTAAGTGTCTATGATCGGAGTATCCGTCGGCGTTTTTGTTGCACGTTGCAGTTTCTCACCGCACCAGGAAAGGCCCCCCCTCTAGAGAGGCCCTTTGCAGCTCGCGCTCTCGGAGGATGAACATCGTTCATGTTCTCAGGTGAAGCTCTTTGCGGTGAAATTTGTGGTTTTCTATTACCCCTTTGCGCACACCATCCTCATCCAGCCCTACTGGGGCAAGGGCTGCGATGGCGGCGAGATGTCAGGCCCAACACTGAGACCCGTGCCACTACCCGTGCCATATGGCCTTTGGTATATTATATAGTATAATTAGACTATAGTATATATTATATTATATATAGTTGTGCCAACATATTTGTTTACTTATGTTTGGCACGTTGTATGGCCACGTTGTAGTCATTCCCCCCCACACCCCAACGGACATGGACAAGTCGGGTATATGCATGAAGATATATTTAAGGGGTATTGGGCGATCTCATTTGCAATGGAGACGATCCGGCCTTGGCCCCCCCAGGCTGCGTGAGCAAGTTGAGATCGGACCTCTATTTCTTCTTTGTGTGCCAGGCGTGCAACTCGTCATCCGCTCCGAAAGTTGCGATTCAAGCAGGCGGATAAAAATGCAAGCCATTGGGCGGGCTGGGCCACCATCTAGTTTTGGAATGCTCGTGCCATGCCCGGTGTTCCAGATGTTGACTTGGGGGCCTCATGCCATGTGTTCACCAACAACGGCGAGCGATGCCATCAGGTGCTCTCTGAAGCCTTTGCTGTGTGCATGACACTGGCATCCGTCTATTGGAGCGTACGTTCAGAGTTGAAATCGAAGCGCATCTGGGCGGAAGCAGTATTAAACAAGTGGTTGCGGAGGGAAGTGTGCTCCAACATTGATGAGAGAGAGAGAGAGATGAGAGATGTATAGAGATGTTCTTTCAGGGCACGGTATGTTTGAATCCGCACCAGGCCGTCCTACTCTTGAGTGGGAGGTCCGCTGCTTTGTTTAGGTCAGCCCGACGGCCGTACTACGGCCGTAGCGCCCGTTTCGGCACCGCCGAGGAGCCCAAAACCACAAGTTCACTTACCTGGAGCTGCAGGCGCACTGCTGTGTCTGCTGCGGACGACAAACGCCGGACCCGCGTGGATGCCGCATCCATATGTGAAAGAAGACGAAGATTTCCGATCCACCTGTTGGATGAGATCCAGTACAAGCCATGAATGAACTCGTGGAGTATAGTACTAACAACCCAAGGACGACCCAAACCATGTCACAATGTGTGTTTTGACCGGTCACCTCGTGGCCGTGGATATTCCACCTGCACTACCCTAGACGCATCAGTTGGATTCGGTGTCTACAGTGACATTGATTCGTGACCCGTCGCTCGTCGCAAAGCGTGTGACCTCTTGAGAGGCAAAGGTCCCGGAATATGGTGAAGCGGAGCAGATCCAGGACTACATGCAGCTGGTGCTCAGCTTCGGCTTTATTGCAATGTCGAAAGCTGAGTCGCTTTGAACACAGACACCGACAGTAGAAGGAGACTGCGAAGATGTTCCACGGTAGATCCAACATGAAGCGAAACGTCCTTGCGCAGGTTTTTTCACCTTTGCTTCATCCAGGATTTGTGGAACAGTTCTTGCTTGACCAGATGGCACCTTTCTCTCACTAAGTGTTCACGTTCGCTGCAGAGTTGTGGCAGCTGGCTGCTCGTGTTCACTGCTGCACGTGTTGAGGTTTGGCGTCACGTGTCCATCTATGTCAATCCTTTGCTTCTTCGTGACTTTTCCCATCAAACGGCTGCTCGCATACAAGATCTCTTATGCACACCAGCGGGTGATCCCAAGGGTAGAGGAAGGCATCGGCGCCTGGCGCTCCATTATGAACTTCATCGCCTACATAGGCGTGACCTGCACCTGCTATATCGTGACTTGGTTATGGTTAGAACTGATTGAAACCAAACAAGGAGCCCCAATGGCTGGTGGCATCAGCCATTTAGCAGCCTGGAACACCCAGGAAATCTTCCAATCAACAGCCCTGTCTGTTTCGCCCCTGTCGCCTTTCTTCAACCAAAAACACCTGTTTCGTCCAACATTGCGAGGTGATTTTCGTCTTCAGCATTGAACACATGGACTTCGCCAGCAAACTTCTGGTCTTCATCCTCAGTGAGCGGGCCTCTCGGACCGAACGACCGTCGGTGAGAGATGTGGACGACCTGAGGACGAGGTCCCGTCGGTTGTCTGGGCTCCTGGCGGATTCACCTGGGGCATTCCGTGAATTTGATGACGATGACTGAAATTGCTCGGAGAAACTGATGGTTGAATCCATGCTAATTATAGTCCATTTGTGTTTGTTTTTTGGGGTAGTGCGTGAATTCAGTCATGGTGAAAGGGCCTGCCTCGCCAGGCTCCACTGATCGCTTGAACTCACGCTGAACACCGAAGAGTAACGTGTGGGTAGAAAAAGAAGCATGGAAGCATGCCCACCCTGACCTGGTCCAGCTAAGTCTGGCCTCAAGAAACAATCATAGATGTTCATTTTTATCGCTAGCCAAACGTTTCATCTCAGGCCTTGATGGGGCTGAAGTGGGTCATGGAAACCTTTATGGGCACCAAGACAGTGGCACAGCTCCGAGCGGAGGAGCATAACGAGAAGGCACTGTGTTTGTTGGGAATTTGGGGGGCCAGGTCATTTTTGGCCGGTCAAGGTGAGGGGGGAAAGGAGGTTCAGGGAAGATGAGTATCTTTTGGAAGATGGCTGCTTTCTGGAGCATTCTAGAGCAGCCTTCACCAGGGCCATGTTCCAAAGCATGTTGGGGTCAGAGGAGGGTGTATAGCCTGCATGGCCTATACTGTAAGGGCGATCTTTTGGGGATCACGGGCAATTTGGCTTTCTCAAACTGAAATGAGCAACTGGGTCTTCGGACTGTCCGCAGCACTCCGAGCGACACCGATGGCAAGCCAATCCGACATATCAACCAACGGCTTTGCTGAAGCTCTATGAGTCCATGCATGACTTTGTTACATAATGTTCATCACCAAGGAGTGAGCAGAGGGATAGGATATGACAGGATGTATAGGACAAGGTAGGACTGTAGAATCGGGAGCTCCTCCTGAAAGAAATGCATGCAACCGCCGCTCGAATCCATCGATTGGCATGTTGGGAAGGTCCTGGACAAAGTCTTGAACGACAACGACCACGACAAGCCCTGACGGAAACGACCGTGGTGGCATCGCGGCTCCAAAGATTGGGCAGTGAGAATGGCTAAAGGCCTGGTGCTCCTGCCGAGCGCAGCGATGCAGACCGAGTACGCTGATGCAGACTGAAGGGAGTTCGACTGTAAACTAATAGGGTGGCGGTGGTTCGAAGATGACATGGACACGATGTTCTGAAATTGGAAGACAGGGAGAACTCTTATACGAATAATACTGTACCATACATACTGAAAGGGCAGAAGGTGAAGAAGAGCGGGTGCTTCCTAGAAAGCGAGAGGGCGGCGGATCAGCCTTGGACCAACTGCCAAGTTTAATTCATCGAACTTAATGTGGTAACTGCCTTGGTGCAACCTGTGAACTGCGGTGCGCGAATGAGCCAAGCATGTGTGAAGAGGAGCCACCGAACATCAATGAACACCTTTAATGGGAGGACCCCTCTTATTCTGCAGAATTGTGCTTATGCAAAGGGCAAATGTATGCAAATGTGCTCTCTTTCAAGGGTCTCAAGGCAGCTGAAGCAAAATAATACAATTGGTTGTGGCGAAGGAATTTGTTACTGACCGACCTGAATGCTAGTTACATCTAGTTACCTTCCTAGTTGCCGAAAAGAACGGGTGACCCGGTGCCGATGTCCGCCCCGAGGACCCGAGGACCGCGGTTGCGGTTCTTGTGTCCATCGACTGAAAACAACATCGAGAACAGCCAACGGATTCAGTTTGTCCTTAGTTTTTCGGGGGGGGGGTTGTTTGGGGTTTTGGTTTATGCCCGTGTCAGAGCTGCGATTCTGAAGATGGCGAAAGCATGCGAGTGCTGCAGTTCCGGTCGACCCACCAACTCCCCCCACGCCACTTACCATTCAGCACCCTGTTGTGTTAATAATACAACTGTTCTCTTGACCAATATCCCAGAGATCCTCTCCATGCCATGTGCGATCACGCGGCTCATGAGCTGCTTGTGTTTCCACCGAGCCAAGCTGAAGCCGACAGAGCCAAAAGGGCCAGGCCAGCTGAACGCAGCTGGACGGGCCAAAAGAGTCGAAAAGCTGCGGTTGCCATATGCCATGGCCCAAAGGATCCCAAAGGCATATATACACATATATATATATATATATGGTACCCCCCTCCTATACCCACCTCCTATCATGTTTTACTGGTATTTACAGTGTTTATATATATATAGTTATTACAACTATACATCATTATATGTTGCAAATGATGCGTGTGTTGGAGCGAAATGCACGTTCAAGAGTCTTTTCATTGCGTCATTGGACACCTAGACCTCTGCATGTAGATAATTCAGGATAATTCCCGAGGGTAACATATTTCTACAAAAGCTTCCAATGCAGCACGGGCTTTTGTGTTTGTGGTCTGCTTGAATTTTCCGAGTGGCCACAATCAGGACGGATGGAAGCGAGCGAGGCCAGAACAAAGGCGCACATGTGTGCTGTTAGACTCCAGACCGGGTGGGCTCTAGGTGCCAGATGAGCTCCATGTGTATGTGGGCATCTGGGTCATGGTTTGTTTCTGTAGAATCTCTCATTGGTCCCCGTGTTCTCTCAAGGTTTGGGAAGAGCGAACGTTTCATCATTTTTTCCATGTATGCAGGCTAGCCACTACACTCCGTGAGATAATCATGGAAGTGGAGTGAAAACCACCTGTTTGGTACTCGGAAAATTGGCCATGCCATCCACGTAGCCATGGATGATTTCAGGGAGTGTAATTATCCGAGGGAGCGCGAGCTGGTACATGCCCACACCAGCTGCATCCTGACTCACTAACATAGGCAAGTAGTAGAAAATCATGACCCCTCCACTAAAAATGAATTGGAGGGGGGCTACCCATGAATTGATGTTTCTCAATTATACATATTTGTTCTTTGATGAATTGTCGACAATTTTGGTAAGCACCTAAGTCGGATAATAAAAAATAATTGGCACGTTCCCAGTGTACCTTGGTCAAGCTAGCCAACTAAATTAATCGACCCCTCCTCCAGAGGCCAACCCAACCTGAATTAATTGTTGTTGCCTGGTTTTGAGTGTGATGGCTGCTTGCATGCGGTGGCCACTTTCCTGCCTGGTTTTTGTGGGGCTGGTGACGTCGACCCCTCCTCCAGAGGCCAGCACCCCCTGAATGAATCTTTGCCTGGTTGGCTGCTTTCCTGCTTGGTGTGCATGCAGTGGCCACTTTCCTGCCTGATTTTTGGCGTGGCTGTGGATGGGGGGTTTGCCACCTGGGGAGTGGAAATTAATTGAGGGGTTTGTCAGGTGTCGATGAGTTAGGGGGTAGGGGTGGTAAGCAACATTTATGGAAATTAAATGGGGGTTAAAGACAACCTTCAATGAACTTCCAAAAATCAGGTATGTGCTCCTTCAATTAGTTTATTTATGTTGATTTTATTAGTTGAGGGCCCCCCCGGGGCCCTATCTAACGTAGGGGTCATTGGAAATCCCCCTGTTTGTAGAGGAAAACAGTCTTCCAAGGCACCATTTTCCACTTCCATGTTAGTGAGTCAGAGTGTAATTCCAGGGTCATGGTGCCTGCATCATCCTCGAGGACAGACCATTTTTCAGCAAGTTGGGAAGCATTGGAAAGCACCGACCTCCTCAGAGGCCCCGAAATGACATGAACGGCTTCCCGATTCCCAAGCAATCCCAAGTACATATGCTCTGTAGCGGAGGGCCAAAGGTGGGGTCCTATACTTTTTCAAGGGCCTATGTGCTTGGACTTCCCAGTAGATGGCCCTAGGCCATGTTTCATATGCGGGGGGAAAGGGGGGGAAACCCAACTTGAGCTTTTGCAGCTCTTACGCTGAATTCATTCACTTTGATTCACTCACTCTGACTCACTAACCTGGTTTCTCCCATCGATCCTCCCAGGCGATGCCGAGAAAATCGCCAGAGGGCTGCGCGATCCGAACACCCGCGTCACCTCCGATCAGATCCAATCATGGCATCCAGGAGGATGAAAAAAGAAGATCCAGCGGGGTGCGAAGCTGATCGTCCATGGTTTGTGAGGTTTGGGCACTAGATTCAGATGGGTGCAAGGTCAGTATACCAGTGATGCATTAGATGTAAGGTTTCACATATCATATCATATCATGAAACTATGCTGTACTTAAGTCTTCAACCACTAGTGTTGAGTTCAAGGACCCACTCAGATAACTACTGTATAGCATCATAAGAAAAATAAGCAAACCAATAGTAAGAAGGTTTGTATTGAGTTTGTTGCTTCTTTGTGTGTGCTCATGCCCTGCCAATGCGCAGCCAGATGCTAGCCTAGCGGCTAGCGATCTTCTCGGGCCACTCTTTTTCACTCAGCTCGATTGTTCTTTCCAGTCTTGTTTGGACTTGTGCCCTGCAGGGGCGCGGTAGCATGGCAGCCTGGAAAGTAATCATGCCCCTTCAGGGCACAAGTCCAAACAGGTCTTCAGCCCTCAAAAAGTTCATCCCAAAGACTTTCGTGAAGATCAGGTGCTGCTTGAATTAGTTTTGCTAGACTTTGCCTATCCGGATTTGGTCACTTTTGGCTCGAACACAGCCGCTGGAAAACGGCCCGAGCCACGCCGCCGTTTCGCCATGGCAGGTGCTGCCCAATCGCTGGCGGCGGATGGCCTGCCCTGGCCAAAGAGCAAACATGAGCCTCGGCAGTTGGAGATGTGAGCCTGGTGGTATTTGGTCGTCACTGACTTGTGCGCGTTGTATGTGTGTCCATACGGGTGTCCAGTGAGTACAGACTCTGGTGTGTTGCAGTGACTGGCTCGTTTGCAGTGTGCTGCATGGCCTATTTGTGCGATCTGGATATGTTTGCTTCGTAGCCTTGGTGCAAGATGGTGCAACACCTCCCCGATCATCCCTTTGTTCACGCAACTGCGGGGGCTTACTCAAAGCCATTGAGAAACCAACGACGTGACAGCTAGCAGGTCCTGAGTTGATGAGTTGCTCACGTCACACTCACCAAATCGCAGAATGCTGTACTAAACAGCCCTCCAGACCTTTCCTTCCGGTAGATCGGGTGGAGCCTTGGTCGATGAGCTTCTGAGGACCTGAAGCTCGACAAACCCTTGGGGCGTGGATACTTCGGTGAAGTATGGTGCGCATCTTTCAGCACACACGTTTTGACTTGAGAGAAAGTGTGGAGACATCTCCTTTTGACATATCAGCATGTCAACATCTATCAACTTGCCTTTTTCTGTTTGATCCACTGGTTATTACTGGTTGGTCAGCTTACGTCAGCTCGGGTCGCCCGTGTACTTTCTTGAGGCGAGGCTATCGTTCAGGCCGGTCTTCAACGCCTGTATGGGCTGCAACTGTGTGGCACGTAGACGTTGAATCAGGGAGCCTGCTCCAAGAGCCGGAAGACTGGCACTGGTGTGTTTTGCTGCCTGCCGATGAGGTAAAGAAGATTCCTCTATCGCTGATTGAGCTCCTTCACTGCAATTGATTGTGTGTGGCCTTTCCAGCGCAAGAGAAAATGTTTGCTGCCCTCTCAGGCAGCATGGTCTCACCGAGCAGATGAAGAGGGAGAGACCTGGCGTGCAAATGCGCTGGTCAGAGTTCCGGCTCAGGTTACTGGGGCCTTCCAAAAGGTTCCCTGAGACTCCCAATGTTTGTCTCATTTTGACTTGTTTCCCTGACACTTCAAGGATTGATATTATGAGAAGCTTACGGCATCCGCATATCGTAGAACTGCACTTCAGCTTTCAAGACGAGAGCCACGTCTATCTGGGCATGGAGTTTGCCGAGGGAGGTGGTATGTTTGACTTGCTGAGCAAGCACCTAGGACCTTACAGTACGCTTTGCCGGGAATCACTCAGACTTTATTTATGTAATTAAAGGCTTCACTAGAGGCGTTACAGCCATTCTTGTTGGTGTGAAGTGTTTGTTCTTTGTTTATATAACTTTAACTGGCAACTGTCCATCCACTCTTTGTAGCTTCCGCTGCTTCTGCTGCTTGCTTTGTAGGTATGGGAAGTTTTCCTCCGAGCTTGCAGCCCGGCACTTCTACGAAGTCTGTGATGCCTTGGAATATCTGCACACACAGACTCCACAGATCATCCACAGGCCGAAGTGGCTAGTGGATTCGGGTGGGGGATGGTGGGGGTTCAGATAGTTGATGCGGAAAGAAAAAGGCCATCTTGAAAGGCTTAGGACGTTCTTGAAGTTCTTAAGCTGTAAGCAAATCTGGGGGAGAAAAAAAGAAAAACTTTCATCATGCTGTGAAGCTACTAGTGACACGTTTGGATTCCCGCTCACCACCAGAAACAAGCAGGCAAACGGCAATGTCAAATTGTTCAATTCGCCATACTTTTCGGTGGGGTCAGGGGGATACTTAGTGCAGGGCAAGATCCCGTGACATGCAGATCGCATGAAAGGATATGAAAGGCATTTGCTTCGCTTGAGGGACTTCAGCGAGCCCGCTTTCCCCCCCCGCAGACGGCAGACGGAGCCGAAGAACCACGAAAGGGGGGGGCAAGCGCAGCGAGGGGCTTACCGATATCGGATGGTGTTTCAGGGACATCGTTGGCATCAGATCCGAGATCGGATGCAAACATGTTTGTCAGGGACATCAAGCCTGAGAACATTTTGCTGGACAAAGAGCAGCATGCAAAGCTGGCTGACTTTGGATGGTCCAACGTCCTGGAGAACGTGTCCTATAGGCCGGTGGGACAGCGTTTTCACGCCTGGATGTAGGGTTCTGGCGGTTTGGAGGACCTTGAGCTTCTCACATTTTATGAGGTGTCATTGGTTTCATATGCAATCAGGTTCGATTTGTTTGATGCAATTGCTCAAGAGATGGAGTTCCGGTGCTTGTGTTGGTGCCAAGCACGGTTTTTCCTAAAATTTTAGTCACAGAGCATGATAGCTTCTCCTTTGCTTAACTTAAATCCTATATAATCCTGGATTGTTGCTGGACTCAAATCCTATATAAATAATCCTATATCATCCTAGGATATACTTATAGGATATACATATAGGTGGCTTGTTGCTGATAGGCTGCCCACAAACCCGCGTTTCTCAGGGCGACCTTTTGTGGCACACCCGACTACTTGGCCCCCGAGATGATTCGCGGGGAGGGCCACAACGAAAGTCTGGACATGTGGGAGATGGGTGTGCTGCTGCGGCTTGGCTGATGGTCGAAGGTCAACTTCCGCAGATCAATCGGTCAGTTGATTGATAGTTGTGCCGTTACGGAGTGGTCATCTTTGGTACGATGCGAGTGTGTGTGCAGGCTTCAGCTACTGTTATGGGTGTCCTTTTTTTTGGCCTCGATTTCTGGAAGAGGTTACTACGTCTGCGGGTTCAGATGCGCCAGTTTTCCAGTAAAGCGGGGTAAGAAGGTGTTCCTGTAGCAGGATGTGTCAGGGCACTTTGCCAGTCCAAGAATCAAAATTGAAAGGGTCCATCTAGGGCAGCTGAGGCAGCTGAGCAAACGAGAGACGGTGGTTTGCAACATCGGACGGTGGTAAGCCCTGCGGTGTTTCGCAGTTTTTACCGCTGCCAAGGTATGAGATGACCGTGGGCAAATCTCCCTTTGGCGGAAGCAATCAGGATGAGACATGCCGCAACATTCTGAATCTTGGCCGTAACAACTGGCTGAGACTCGTCATCTCCTTTGGTTCGTTCTCCACTGTAAGGAGCTGCAAGCTGAAGTTTCCACCTGGTTTAGAGCCATTGGCAGAGGCAGGGCACGAACAAACCACAGCAGCTCGGACTGTTCCGGAACGGCACCACCACCCCCTGGTGCGTGCACCCCATTGGAGGCCTTGCATCGGCCAAGCCTTGGAAAACGCATGAAAATGCTGGAAACTGTTGGAGACACACACAGATTCACCGTGCGCGGTGGGGACACCACGTGCAGGATTGCATCAAGAGCTTGTGCAAGTCGAGGCCACAGGCCAAGGGTTCAGCCGTTAGGATCAGCCAGTTTGTGTTATAAGTGCTGAGTTGTTTTTAATGTGATATTGATATGGCCCAAAAGGCTAGCACTTTTGATCATGCATTTCCAAACCAAACGCAAGCCGCAAATGTTCGATCTATAATCCATCAGGAGGGCATAGGAGGGCCTATGGTTGTTTGGGGGCGCATTGTCACATGCAATCAAGGTTACGCCACTTGCTCCAAGAGGGGCAGCTGTAGGTTTAACACACACACACCAAAAAATGTTTGACGCCCTTCATCTTGAGAGCCATAAGTGTATGCACGTGTTCTGGCACGTTCTGGCGACAATTCGCTGCTCGTTTTGGGGTTAGGAGCGCCTCACGGCTGCCCAAGCCAAATGCCATGACTTTGTGAAGAAGTTCCACGCTGCGGCGCGTGCGAAGGACTAGTGCGGACATATAGGAAGTTCATGGAACATATGTGTAGAAGACCTAGAGAAGACACACGCAACGGGCAAATACACAGAAGAGTTAGTCAAGGCGGTGCCAAACCCCTTTGAGATGAAAGGCCAGCTGGAACACCTCAAGAAGCGGGCCCGTCCGAGACGTATGCTTGGTCAGATGAGGGAATTAAAGGCGCAGCTCATACGGTGAAGTGAAGTGAGGGTTCTGCAAGAGGATTTCTTTATGCAGCCAGGACGTACAAGAAGATGCTGGAAGACCATCTGTAGAGGCAGTCTCGCTCCGTTGTTCCGCGCATCATGAGCGAATCACGACACAAACAGTATTCAAAGGCGGCTGTAACACGGTGAAGCATGTTGTCCTGCATAGATAGAGTTTACGCCCTTATGATCGTTGTTTCTTTTGGGATTGCCAGGCCACAGTCCCAAACACTGGAAGATCCAAAAACTTTGTGTTCCACACAGTTGTTTCATGTTTCATTAAGGACCTGTTCTTCTGAAGGTTGTTGAGAACAAGCAGGTGCCCAAAGCCATTCACCAAAAGGGCTCCTAATTACTCTGTTTCAGGTCTTTGGTGGCCCTAACCCCCAGCCTAACTCCGTGCCTTCTTGGAGCTCCGAGCAACGACCCCCAGCCTCTCGTCGGTCGCGTCTTCGGCTTTTTCATGCTTTTTCCACAGCCGCCGCCTGGTACCAACACCGCCGACGCGTGCCATGGCTGAGGCGCGAAACCTGCGCCGGAAGAATGAGATTCTCCTCAACGAGCACACTGAGCTCCTTCAGCAAAAAGCCCACAAGGACAGGTCTGACGGCACGGCATCGACTGCAGGACACCATAGGACACCTTTGAGAGAGGGTTTGCGGATGTATGCGGGTATGCGGGGGGGTCGGGCATGGATGAAGGTGGTCGATGTGAGTTGTGCAAAAGAAAGACTTTGAGCGAAGAGATGGGGATGGAGGGGCTGCATCTCCTAGGGTTCAGTCTCACTGTCTCAGCGTCATTGGTGCCAGGAGGGGGAAATTTTCAAGATCGACGAGCAACTGGAGGCTCAGCTTGCATGTGTCCGGGTTGGGTTCGTCCTTTGTCGCTTTCCAGTGCGCTGTTGATTTGTTGGGAGGGTGGACTGCCGTGGCGGTGCAGGAGAAAGTTCAACTGCTCCAAAGAGAAAAGGGCAAGAGAGACCAGGCAGTGAAGACTTGGACATTAAGGGAAGCAAGGCAACCACAGAAATTAATGAGAGACTCAGACCAGTCAATTGTAAAATCAAAAGCCTGCTGCGAGCATGATCGAGCATGACAGCTGGCAGGCAAAGAAAATACTTGAAGAATTGCAGGCTTTGGAGAGGCTCGACACTGACGTTTTGCGTGGCCCTGCTTTGTCTTTTCGTTGATGCATTTTCGACTGCAGGGAGCAGCTCGAGGACGGAAGTTGCAGGGGGTTCAGCTGGGCGGCCAGAAAACTGAGCAAAGCCAGGAATTTGTAGTTGTGGAATGTTGTGGAGCGATTGTCAGAAAAAATCGGCATCTCATATGCGTCATATGACACACTATCTCATGCCTTCAAGACTCTTGCCCGTCCCACCATCCGCAAGTACCCACCACCATCCACCAGCATGCTGACCATCCTGGCCCTTGTCTTAGCAAAACGTTCGCCCGTTGAATCCAACCTCATCGTTTTTGCTTGGCGTGTCGGGACATCGTTGAATCCAGGAGCTTCGACTGCTCGAAGCAGCGGAGAGGCCAGCTGCTCCTTTGTGAGCTGAGTTCGGCACACCGTCTGAGCAGCGACATGGAAATCCCGGAGATCTGAAGCGCAAGAAGAGCCCTTTTGGTTGGTGAATTTGTGAACCATTTTGTGTTTGATATTGGGTGAAGTTGGATGATTTGGACAAATCTTCCCATGTGGCCACAGGTTTAATTGGATGATTTCGGATTCTGTGAGAGGCCCAAACCTCTTTGGATCTCCCCACATGAATTTAGGTCTCGCTGCTTGGGCGGGAAGAAAAAGCCTTGCACATCGGGTCCCGTTGGACCAACCGTGTTGGCTGCTATCAGCTTTGACACGGACATGTGGTTCAACATGTTGTCAAGAAAAAGGATCAAGTAAAGTCGCCTTTCTATATATTTGGATTTAGCTGTCATAGTTAGACATACAGATTGGTGCACATCTATGCCAATCCACGTGTTCCAATGCCTTTGCTTCTTGTTGCAGGCCCGCCATATAGATATTTGCATTCCTTTCCGGGGGGGGCAGGTCGCACACAAAAATGCGAGCAAACATCAGCTCTGACAAACACGCGTGACCAAACATTCAGCTCGCTGGGTCATATCATATCCAAGAATTTGTGTCCCAGTACCAACGGATCACAGCCATGGCCGCGGTGATCGAGGATGTCGATGATGATGTTTGTGCAGTTCAGGCACGGCCATGCCAAGTCCGTTTTTCTAGCGGGCCCTGGAAAGTGTTTGACATGCTGACGCATCTTGCAGGTGACGAGGGACAATGTGCCCCAGTCCACCAAGCAGCCTGGCTGATCCTGGCTGAAGAGGAATGGATGCGAAGCCATTGGCCCGAGGGAGGAACAAGGAAGCTACTGGAGGTTCGTGGCCTTACTACTAGGAACAAGGGCGATACTAGTAACAAAGGGCATCGCTACTAGGAGCAAGGACGCTACTAGGGGCATCCCGGTTGTTGATAGAATTTGAGAGATGTTAGGCCACCGACTCCAAGAGGTCTTCCAACTGATGGCTATGTGTGCAATTTAAACAAGGAGACGCCCTGCCCCCCAATCGTTGTTGAACGATGTTCTTTCTTCCCGATGTGTTGTGACGGTTCTCCTATTTTTAACATACACCCAAATGCGAGATAATGCGAGCATGAAATTGGTGGTCAGGGATTGCCACACGGAAAAGTCTGCAATTGTAAGCACCGGAAGATCTGGATGATGTTGTTGGGCTACATTGATGAGTGACAGATGATTCTGCTGCAGAATGTTAATGTTGTTTGGGAACAAGAAAGGCTGTGCCCTGTTAGTTACATATTGTATTTCACACGTTTTCCATTTGGGGTTCATACCTCCCGAAAACCCACGTGGACGAAGGCTATTGTCGCATGGTGTTCCTTGAAAAACCAGGTGTCCAGGCCCTGCATGATTTCATTTGCAAACTAACGGTGGCATGATATATGATGTGATATCTACGGTGGATCCCCATCATATGACACGTTTTCACTCCACGTTTCGACTTCAGGGACATTTGCATCGAGGACGACGCTGATGATGCCGAGGCCGCGAGTCGCGAGTTTCTCCGTTGCAAGATGTCCGACGTTTAAAACAGAAAGAACATCCCTTCAGTTCGGAAAACAAACGCCAAAGATTGGGAGGTTTAGAGGCTTTGTTCTATATATAGGTTCTTGGGCGGTTCAACAACATACCAGATCTTTTTGGGACTTCCAGCCCTGAGCCAGATGTCGATAGAACCGTGCACGGTAAAAAGTGGGGTCCCTTTACGGCCATCCGCAAGGCCGTTTGCGTTTCCATCTCGCAAGACAAAGCTGGTACCAAGCGTCCGCAACTTAGACAAACAAACGTTTGTGAGTTACCTTGCCGGTGAATCGGAAGCAGTAAGCAATCACAACAAACTGCACTATAAAAATCAAGGGACCTGGACGTAGTGTGTGGTTTCCTGATCCGGCGAAGCACGCCAAAACCTGGGTGGACCCAAGCTCTCTCTTTCGATCCCGAGATCGGTCTAAAAGAACCTCAGGTCCAGTGACCCTCGTGGAGTCCGACTCAGACAGTTCCAGCTCAGGCGCGACGCGCGGATCCGGTCGTCCACCTACTGTTCGAGACGATTTCTGTTTGCATCAAGCAGTGAGGTCTCAATAGTACACCTCAAAAAGAATGATCTCCTCAAGGTTGGGACATGAGATTTCCGCCCAGTGCCGCTCCTCATTCCCTCGCGGGTTGGGTGTTTTCAGTTCCCAGATTGGTGTTTTCCCTTCCCGTGGTGTTTCCTTTTCCCAGATTGGTTTTTTCGGTTCCCGTGGTGTTTCTGGTTCCCAGGTCTTGGTGTTTCCAGTTCCTGGATTGGTGTTTTTCCTTCCCGCCTTCTGTATTGTTTTTTTTGGTTCCCACTCTTGGTGTTTTCCCTTCCCGGAGTTCTCCCCCCCCAGGTCTGTGTGTTTTCAGTTCCTGGATTGCTGTTTTCCTTGCCCAGCTCCTGTGTTGGTGTTTTTGGTTCCCAGGTTTGGGTGTTTTCAGTCCTGGACAATGTGTTCCCTGCAGCTCCTGTGTTGGTGTGCCCTTTCACGTGTTTGTTTGTCAGCTTTCGTTTGAATTTCTGGCTACCATTGCCCACCGCTGGATTTGAAAGCACGTACTCGTGTCACACAAGTAAACAGACAAAGAACACCGCAAAACCGTCAAAGCCATTCGCTGTAAAAACATGTCAGTTTGCGTAAACCCACTGCCGCAAAAACACAAGGTACCCGGTGACACCATCATAACCGCGCACTGTACGAACACATAGACGAAAGCATACAGAGCTTCATTTTTG